AAAAAGGCCTTTTTGAGACAGGGTCTCCTTGCAGCCCTCGCTATAGAGGGGCATCTGAATGTGCAATGCCCCCAGTGCCAGAAGAGGGCATTGGGTTCCCTGGAACTGTAGTTATGGACCATTATTAGATGCCATGTAGGGACCTAACCTGAGTCCTTTACAAGAGCAGCCAGTGCTTTTAACTGCTGAACCATTTCTCCCAAAACCTCCCACCCTTTTTTTTTTTTTTTTTTTTTTTTTTTTGAGGCAGGACCTCCCTGTAGCCCCAGTTGGCCTGACTTGGAACTTGCTTTGTAGACCAGGCTGGCCTCTTGATCTCACAGAAATCTGCCTGCCCCTGCCTCTGACTCCCAAGTGCTGGGACTAAAGGAGTATACCACCAAACCTAGCTATTATCTGATTTTTAAATAAAATCTTTCTTTTTCTGAAACACTCCTCCAATCTGAGACCCCTACTTTTGTTAATTTGTTTTAAGAAAGGTTCTTACTGTGTAGCCCTAACTGACCTGGAATTTACTATATACACGTCCTTGAACTCACAGGATCACCTACCTCTGCCTCCTAAGTGCAAGGATTAAAAGTGTGCACTACTGTGCTTGACTAGGACCCTTTTTAATTCCGGAAGACAACTTGCAAGAACCAGTTCTTTCCTTCATCCATGTGGGCTGCAGAGATCAAGTCAGGTGGTCAGGCTTGGTGGCAACTATTGTTACCCACTGAGCCATCTTGCTGGGTAACTGAGCCAACTCACTGGCTCTAGGAACAATTTTATTTTAACTTATTTTTGCAGTTATGGGGATCAGACCCATTCCGTGTGGGTCCTGCATGCTAGACAAGCCCTCTACTAGTGAGCATTACACACCAGCATATTGTTTTTTTCTCACATTATGTATATATTGTGTCGGAGGGTGCACGTATAAAGGTCAAAAGACAGCTTTTGGGAATCCTTTCCTGTGGGTCCCTGAAATCAGGCCATCAGGCACAGAGGCAAGGGCCTTTACTCCCTGAATCATCTTACCAACCCTTTTGTATTTTACTTTGAGACAGGCTCCTTACTAAGTTGTCCAGGCTGGCCGTGAACTTGCTGTCTTCCTGCCTCAACCTCCCAAGCTGGGCTTATATGTATGTGCCACCATGACCAGTTTGAAAACTTTTTTTTTTTTTTCGGTCTTTTTGAGACAGGGTCTCCCTGTAGCT